GTAGCCTGGAACCTAACCCGCCGTATAAGTGGGGCCCTCCTGTATTTACTTAGATTTTAGTAAGGCTTTTGATAGAGTTCCGCACCATAGACTGTTAAAGAAAGTGGCAGCTCATGGGATTTTGGGGGAAAAATGTCTCGTGGATCGAGGCATGGCTCACTTGACAGGAAGCAGAGAGTGTCCATAAATGGGGTTAAATCCGAGTGGGGATCTGTAACAAGTGGCGTTCCACAGGGATCAGTCTTGGGCCCGTTGTTGTTTATAATATATATCAATGATATTGATGAGGGAATTACTAGTGATATGAGCAAATTCGCCGATGACACAAAGATAGGTAGGATAATTGATTCAAACGTAGATGTTATGGAACTTCAGGAGGATTTAAACAAACTCTATTCTTGGTCAGAAAAGTGGCAGATGCAGTTCAATGTAGATAAATGCAAGGTTCTGAAGCTTGGGAGTGCCCATAACCCTAGTACTTATAAGTTAAATGATGTAGAACTTAGCCATACAGATTGCGAAAAGGACTTGGGGGTTATGGTGAGCAGCAACCTTAAACCAAGACAGCAATGCCTAAGCGTACGTAATAAGGCAAATAGATTACTGGGGTTTATATCAAGAAGTGTAAGCAACAGAAGTCCAGATGTCATACTGCAGCTTTATACATCATTAGTAAGGCCTCACCTAGATTATGCAGCTCAGTTCTGGTCTCTGTATTACAAAATGGACATAAATTCGTTAGAAAACATTCAGCGTAGGATGACTAAATTAATACATAGCATTAGAAATCTTCCTTATAAAGAAAGATTGAAGACTCTTAAGTTACATTCACTTGTTAGACGAAGAATGAGGGGAGACCTGATCGAAGTGTATAAGTGGAAGATAGGTATTAATAAAGGGGATATTAATAAGGTCTTGAGGATGTCTCTCCAAGAGAGAACCCGCAGTAATGGATTTAAATTTGATAAGTTTAGATTTAGAAATGACATAGGAAAGTATTGGTTTGGAAATAGGGTAGTTGATGAGTGGAACAGTCTACCTAGTTGGCTTATTGAGGCTGGGACTTTGGGTAGTTTCAAATCTAGGTTGGATAAGTACATGAGTGGGAGGGGTTGGATTTGAGTGGGACTTTCACATCAGAGCTTATTTCTTGGGTGGCATTGAAAATTGGGTTGGGCAAATGTTTGTTAGTGGGATGAATTGTAAAGGACCTGCCTAGTATGGGCCAGCAGGCCTCCTGCAGTGTTCCTCCTTTCTTATGTTCTTATGTTCTTATGTACTGCAGAACTGTAACCACAACTTGTCAGTAAACCAACGTCTACCTTGTTCCTGACCTTGTGAATACGAGACAATACAATAAGTCACATTTAGCCCACAATTTGTAGAAGAAACTTCAGACAACATTTGGTCTATCCTGGATCATTTATCAAGTCATTATCAGTCATAACCTAATAATGGTCCAAGAAACACCAGAACTTCATCTACGACTTACTCTCCAGACTGTGAAGTTTTCCAGCCAGGGTAATACAAGTAACTTTTACTCTTCAAATGGATAATGATGTCAGACTTCGTTCCACTATTCAAGTAAAAGAAATAAAATGTGTAGATGGTGAAAAAGTGTATTACATCTATCACAACTAAAGAATGACTGTAGTTGGGATATCTTTGATATACCTTTGAAGAGTTTCAAGAGTTAATCTACTCTCTGAGCCCAGCCATGGGCCAGGCTCATCTGGCACTTACCTGGTCAACCAGGTTGTTGCTGCTGGATGCCCACTGCCCTACATATGGGAGTGAAGGAAAGTGTTACAACTGCATCATCTTAGGAACAGTGGCTATTAATTCCTTAATTTAAATATTCTATTAACAGGATGCTTCTGATCTCTCCAGATGCTAACAAATTTAGCAGGAATTATTACTATTATTATATACATGGCAAAGTGTAATACCCACAGGTTCTATGGTAGGTATTAGTAAAGGATGGACTCTCTCAAAATATCTTTAAATTCTTTTTTCTGTACAGTAAAACCTCTCATTAAAGATTTCAGCAATTTCAGACAAAATAAATTGGCAGGACAAACACTGGAGTTATTGGACAGAAGTCTGTAATTCCAGATATTGTCTGTAGTGATAATGTCTGGTTGTCTTCTGAAGTGTATGGCCAAGTCTGATAACTCTGACATTTGTCTGATTATGGGTCAAAGTGGCCATGTCCAGGTAAGGGTAAGGGCCAAAGCAGCAACATCCAGGATGACCTGTCTGTTTTCACTGTTTCTTGAGCCATAGGCCACCACACCAGTTTGTTTGTGCTTAGTCATTCACATGCACTCGTCATTCAGTCTCTAATTCTCCTGGGTTTAGAGCATTTTTATGACAATTAACAAATTAAGTAAAGTGCAATTAACAGTTATTTCCTTCTGGTCTTAACACAAGAAGAAAAATATATCCCAGTAATTAATATTATTATAGTGGAGCCGAGATAAACAAATTATGTAACATCACAATCACTAGCAATATAGTTATTAAACAGGTTGATCAATAAACATAAAATCAATGCCCAGGGCCTGATGAACGTGTCAGATTATTCCACTCACCTACAGCACTACTGCTGGAACAGTACATTCCTATATCCTTCTTGGATATCCAACCAAGAAAGAACTAGAAATAATTGATTCAAATTGGTTAAGTTTACATTTAAAAACAGAATACAGGAAAATACTGAAATTTTATCCCCAAACCAATTTACTATGAAAAACCTTGAAAATGATAACTAGACTATTTTCAATTTTTGAACCCTCATCAAACATTCTCTCGTTAAATCTAAACGGGCTATCAACATTCCTGGGATTTTTATTTATCCCTTTATTCCTCTGAGCTTCTCCCTCCCAGTGACTTCTTCTTTGGTCTAAAATCATCTTTACCCTTCACAATGAATTTAAAACAATCCTGGGGTCCTCTAATTCAGGATTATCCTTATTGTTTGTCTCACTCTTTAGCTTCATCCTCTTCAACAACTCCTTAGGTCTCTTACCTTATATTTTCACCAGCTCCAGATAACTAGCCATAACCTTCACCCTAGCTCTGCCACCATGATTATCTTTTATTTTATTCAGATGATTAAACAACACCCAACATATATTTGTGCAGTGACCCTAACTGGCAAACTGTTCCACAATGAGTGGAACAATTTGCCAGTTAGGGTCACTGAAGCTTAATTATTTGCAAATTCAAAAACAGGTTAGACAAATGCACAAGTGAGAGGGGAGGACTGGATATGAATGGGGCCTGCAGAGCATGGGTTAGTAGGGTTACTGAAGCTTAACTCTGTCCAGAAACAGAGACAAGCACACAGAGACAGGAAGAGACAGACAGACAGACAGACAGACAGACATAAGAACGTAAGAAAGAAGGAACACTGCAACAGGCCTACTGACCCATGCGGAGCAGGCCCATGCCCCCCCCCCCCCCCGATTCGACCAATGACCCCCCCCCCTCGGATTAGCTCAATGACCCACCCAGTATGGTCATCTCCACTCAAGGATGGAGCACTGCACCACACCCAGCAGCACAATCTAGTCAGGTCCAACTCACACCCACCCACACACACTCATGTATTTATCTAACCTATTTTTAAAACTACACAACGTTTTAGCCTGAATAACTGTACTCGGGAGTTTGTTCCACTCATCCACAACTCTGTTACCAAACCAGTGCTTTCCTATATCCTTTCTGAATCTGAATTTTTCCAACTTGAAACAATTGCTGCGAGTTCTGTCTTGGCTGGAAATTTTCAGCACGTTATTTATTCCTGTTTTTCATTTATACACCTCAATCATATCCCCTCTAATTCTACGCCTTTCGAGAGAGTGCAGATTCAGAGCCCTCAGTCTATCCTCATAGGGAAGATTTCTGATACATGGGATCATCTTTGTCATCCTCCTCTGCACGTTTTCCAGAGCATTTATATCCATTCTGTAATACGGTGACCAGAACTGAGCAGCATAATCTAAATGAGGCCTAGCCAAGGATATATAGAGTTGAAGAACAACCTGAGGACTTCTATTATTTATACTTCTAGATATGAAGCCAAGAATTCTGTTAGCTTTATTGCGAACACTAATGCACTGTTGTCTTGGTTTTAAATTACTGCTAACAAGAACTCCTAAATCCTTTTCGCAATCAGTAGTATTAAGATCTACATTATTTAGTTTATATGTGGCATGGTTATTTACCTGTCTAACATTTAGAACTTTGCATTTGTCAATATTAAACTGCATCTGCCACTTCTCCGACCATTGCATCAGTCTATTCAAATCATCCTGGAGTGCTCTAGTGTCCTCATTAGAATTAATTGGACGGCCTATTTTGGTGTCATCAGCAAATTTGCTTATGTCGCTATTTATTCCCTCATCTATGTCGTTTATGTAAATTGTGAACAACAATGGGCCCAACACTGACCCCTGAGGAACACCGCTTGTGACGTGCCCCCATTCTGATTTCTCCCCATTTATGCAAACTCTCTGTTGTCTATTTGTCAGCCATGCCTCTACCCAGGAAAAAATTTCTCCTCCTATTCCATGTGCCTTAAGTTTCCTCAATAGCCTCTGGTGTGGAACTCTATCGAAAGCCTTACTGAAGTCCATATACACAATATCATATTCATTACCATGATCTACCTCCTCAAACACCTTAGCGAAAAAAGGCTATACAATACGTATTTGTAAAGTAACTATCTGTAAACAACAGGTAGCCATATTTGTTACAGTGATTGGTTGATGGCAGTGGAGATGATGAGACTGTGGTGTATTGCTTTAAAACAATAGTGAGCCAGTAACTGGCTCACTATTATTTTGAAGCAAGTGCTGTATATTTTGTATTTTTTTCCAGAATATGCCTGACAAAGTTGAGAATATGCTTTGTGCCAAAAAATATGGTATTCTTTATCACTTTTTACTAATATATGTTCTTGAAAAATGTGTTGAAACAGTTTACATTTGCAGCTGCCTACGTGATGTATGAGTGTGCTCTTCGTCTCAACGTTGAAGGTGTCGGTGAAAACGGTCTACGGCAGCAAGCCAAGTGTTACCTGGCATGCCTCAACTGCTTACGACACATCCCTCCTGAGCAGGCATGGATAGTAAAGCCTCTACCCAGGTCAGCTGAGGATGGCATTGACAATAATGAAAGTCGGATGATTGGTAAGTCTTCTTGTGTCAGAGCATCACTATAATAAGGGTAATATAATGTTAAAAATTCCCTCTCTTTCCCACTTTACTTTCTTTCCCTGATCTGACAAATATTTGGTGAATATATTGTGAAGCATAATTCCATGCACAGTACAGTGGACCCTCGAGTTTAGAACTTATTTCGTTCCAGGAGCTAGTTCTGAAGTTGAAATGTTCGAAAGTCAAACCATTATTTCCCATAAGAAATAATGAAAATACAATTAATCCATTCCAGAAACCCAAAAATATTCACAAAAAATAAAATACATTTTTTAGAGATTACATTATAGTTTTACATACAACAAACATACATAGTACAATTAATAATAGATAAATAAACATTTAAATAAACATATAAAATAACATTTTTACTTTATTGAAGATTGTTGATGGCATCTGAAGATAGTGAGGAGTGAGGGAGCACTTATTGTTTGGAAGGGGAATCCCCTTCCATAAAGACTTTAGGTAACAAGTCCTTAACCCTTTCAGGGTCGACAGGCCCTCTAGATGGCTGGCTGGCTAGATGGCTGGCTGGCTGGCTGGCTAGATGGCTGGCTGGCAGACTAGATGGCTGGCTGGTTGGCTAGATGGATGGCTGGCTGACTGGCTGGCTAGATGGCTGGCTGGCTAGATGGTTGGCTGGCTGGCTAGATGACTGGCTAGCTAGATGGCTGGCTGGTTGGCTAGATGGCTGGCTAGATTGCTGGCTAGCTAGATGACTGGCTGGCTAGATGGCTGGCTGGCTAGATGGCTGGCTAGATGGCTGGCTGGCTAGATGGCTGGCTGGCTGGCTAGATGGCTGGCTAGATGGCTGGCTGGCAGGCTAGATGGCTGGCTGGTTGGCTAGATGGATGGCTGGCTGGCTGGCTAGCTAAATGGCTGGCTGGCTAGCTAAATGGCTGGCTGGCTAGATGGCTGGCTGACTGGCTGGCTAGATGGCTGGCTGACTGGCTGGCTAGATGGCTGGCTGGCTGGATGGCTAGATGGTTGGCTGGCTGGCTAGATGACTGGCTGGCTAGATGGCTGGCTGGTTGGCTAGATGGCTGGCTAGATTGCTGGCTAGCTAGATGACTGGCTGGCTAGATGGCTGGCTGGCTAGATGGCTGGCTGGCTAGATGGCTGGCTAGATGGCTGGCTGGCTAGATGGCTGGCTGGCTGGCTAGATGGCTGGCTGGCTGGCTAGATGGCTGGCTGGCTAGATGGCTGGCTGGCTAGATGACTGGCTGGCTGGCTAGATGTCAGTCAGTCACTCACTCACTCACTCAGTCACTCAGTCACTTACTCAGTCACTCAGTCACTCAGTCACTCACTCACTCACTCAGTCACTCAGTCACTCACTCACTCACTCACTCAGTCACTCACTCAGTCACTCAGTCACTCACTCAGTCACTCACTCAGTCACTCACTCAGCTCAGTCACTCACTCATCAGTCATCACTCACTCAGTCACTCATCACTCAGTCACTCACTCATCACTCAGTCACTCAGTCACTCTCACTAAACTCATAGTCACTCACTCACTCAGTCACTCATCACTCATCACTCAGTCATCATCACTCACTCAGTCACTCACTCACTCAGTCACTCAGTCACACACTCACTCAGTCACTCACTCACTCCACTCACTCACTCACTCACGTCACTCACTCACTCACATCAGTCACTCACTCATCACTCAGTCACCTCACTCAGTCACTCCCCACTCATCACTCAGTCACTCACTCAGTCACTCACTCAGTCATCACTCAGTCACTCATCACTCACTCATCACTCACTCATCACTCAGTCACTCACTCAGTCACTTCCAGTCACTCTCACTCAGTCACTCACTCACTCACTCACTCACTCACTCACTCACTCACTCACACTCAGTCACTCACTCACTCACTCACTCACTCACTCAGTCACTCACTCAGTCACTCATTCACTCACTCACTCACTCAGTCACTCACTCACTCACTCACTCAGTCACTCACTCAGTCACTCAGTCACTCACTCACTCAGTCACTCACTCAGTCACTCACTCACTCACTCAGTCACTCAGTCACTCACTCAGTCACTCACTCAGTCACTCACTCACTCACTCACTCAGTCACTCACTCACTCAGTCACTCACTCACTCAGTCACTCACTCAGTCACTCAGTCACTAAGCTAATGACAGTAGTGACATTTGATGAGGGTACACTGCCTTCGCTTTATTTGTTTTCACTTTACACATAAACAAGTCTGTCTGTCTACTTGCCTCTCTTTCTGTCTCTCTCTGTCTCAGAAAGAGCCACTAGTGAACCAACACGTATTACACATGATGCAGTAGTCACTGTGTCACATCTGAGACCTGATATGTATTATTTGCCAGTCTGGATTTTTTGGGTTTTCTTAGGTAATTTACACTATGTATAATTGTATTTGTGTACCTGTGAGACAGATGGACAGACAGCCAGCCAGTCAGCCAGATAGCCAGTCAGCCAGCCAGCCAGATAACCAGCCAGCCAGATAGCCACCACCACCAACACCATCACCACCATGGTAGCTTATTTCACAGTCGCACTTAATAAACAAGCACCAAACACAATTAACCCTTTCAGGGTCTGTCCCATAGATCTACGGCTTCACGTTGAGTGTCCAAACCATAGATCTACGCCAAAATTCTAGCGCCGTCAAATTTAGCGCGAAAACGCTCATAGGCCTACATGTGAGAGAACGGGTCTGCGTGGTGGGTGTGCGCCATAAACAAAAAATCTAGGCGCCCGCATAGCTTTGTGGGAATGCCGGCTCAGTTACCCTTGTTCACCACGCCTCGTCGCAAGTCAGCTCTCACTCCCCGGAAAATTGGGACTCTCCTCTTCTTATCTGATAGTTCTGACACTGATGGAAGTGGAAATGAAGATGAATTCTACGGCTTTGATCAGTTAGTGACCGAAAAGAATGACCAGGATATCGATAATAGTGCAGAAAACCCTGACGATCCTCAACCTTCTACCTCTGGTGTGGGCACTCGTGACTCACGGTCGGTTGTTCCTCAACGCAAGAGAAAAACTAATATTTTCCGCGTGGCCAGGCCTCGACTTCAGTAATGATGATGATAGTGACGTGGATTGTGATTTTATTGCGCTCGACAATCATTCGAGTAGTGATAGGAATCATATTCACCAGTGAAGCGTCGGTATGTTCGCCGCCACATGCGCTCGGGTAGTGTACCCTATGCTGTGCCCAGGGGACGGAGTACATCCCGGAGTACATCCCGTGGCCCTACACCAGTTTTAGGTAGTGATAGTGAGGATGATGTGGCTACACTTGGCATGGATAGACCACAGGCATCAGTGGATGGTGTTAGTGGTGATGGTAGTGGCACCGCCATGCGTGACTCACCAGGCCACGCTGGGACCCACGCTGCTGACTCGTCTAGTTCAAGGACAAAGCTGAGCGCCAGCCACCAGCCCACCACAACCACAAACCACCGCACAACTAGCCTATGATGTCCAGTATCCACCAGCAAACCGTATGTGGGATTGGCAGCAAAATCCCAATTTTGTTCCCAAGCCTCACCACTTTGATTACTCTCAAAGTGGAATTCTACCTACCTGTCCCCTTGGAACCACAGCCAATGAACTGGAATTCTTTGAATTATTCTTTGACCAGCCATTGATGGAAATTATTGTCAGGGAAAGTAATAAATATTTTGAGTACACCATGGCAAATATGATCTTATCACCACAGTCAAGACTACACGGTGAGAAAAGAGACGACTGTTGCAGAAATGTATTTGCTTTTTGCAACAGTAATGCTTATGCCTCACGTCTATAAGCATAATATAAAAGCATACTGGTCCACAGATCGGCTAATTTGTACTCCGGTCTTAAGTGAAATCATACCAGTGAACAGGTTTATCTTACTCTTACGTATGTTGCACTTCTCTGACAAAACCAGGCCTGACAGAAGTGACAGGTTTATACAAGATTAGAATGTTTTCATGTATCTCAAACAAAAGTTCAGCATATACTTTTTATCCATTCAAGAATCTTGTAATTGACGAGTCTTTGATTTTGTTCAAAAGGTAGACTGTCATTCAAGCAGTATATACGAGCAAGGGAAACGCTTTGTATAAACTGTTTGTACATCTGTGATTGTGACAGTGCCTGGTGTTGGATATTGTGTATACACGGGTAGTAAAACATTGAGATACCAAGGATGTTATGGGTATCTCAGGTGACGTAGTGAGAAACATGATGGCACCTTATCTTGGTAAGGGGCATACATTATATACCGATAACTGGTACACAAGCCCATTCTCAGTGATTTTCATTGCGAGTGAACAAGACAGATGTGTGTGGCACAGTGCGTTTCTAATCGTAACATATGCCCAGGCTCAACGCAGGTGCTCGTGGTGATGATGATGCAGGTGTTTACTGCCAATGACATCATGGCATTACGGTGGCATGACAACAGATGTATCACTATGTTGACAACCATTCACCGTAATGAAATGCAAGACAGTGGCAAAGTTGATCGAGTGACTATTGAACGTTATTCGAAAACAGTGACAGTGATTGATTATACACAAAACATGTGCTTTGGTTGACAAATTGTGACATGCAGATTGGTTTTGTTGACTGTGTTCGTAAGAGTTACAAGTGGTACATGAACTTTTCTTCCATCTCATGGACATTTCAATGCATCAATGCATATAATATGTACCAAATAATAAGATGGCAACAGACCACCGTATGGTGAATATTTTGTTTGTCTGTTGTCAGACAACTCATAATGAAGTACGAGGTAAGAACACCTGCTATACAACAAGGTTCTCGAATTACTCAGGATATACCCAAGCGTTTGAGGAGGGAAGGTGATCATTTCATAATACAACTTCCTTCAACTCAGAAGAAATTTGCTCAGAAGAGATGCATTGTCTGTGCACAAACAAAACGACGGCAACAAGACTCAAAGACCTCGGTTTATGTGTGAGGAATGTA